ACCAAAAAAAAAAAAAAATCAAAACTCAAATTTAACTCAACTTTAATCCAACTTTACTATCCTCAATATTATCAATATATATAAATATTATCAATCAATTATTATTACACATCACATCAACTTTAATTCACTATTCATTCATTCACATAATTTTAACTAACCATCACTTCTAATCATTTTCTCCTACTTCATATCAAATCAATTTTAATTATTTTATTTAAATATTATTTTAATATTTTCACTAATAACTAACCATACTACCTGTTTTTTAACTATAGTTAAAAACAAACCAAATAAAAACTAGTTGAATCCAATTTTCTTCTAGGTCACGTAGGGCTCGTATCCATATCTTTTTTTAAACCCAAAAGCTAATTTTAAAATTCTTTGTTCCCTAAGATCTCCAAATTTTTTCTATTATTATTATTATTATTATTATTATTATTATTATTATTATTATTATTATTACCTTTAATTTTAGTTGCAAAAACATTCTCCACTAATTTGCTTGCAATACAATATATAACTGCATGAAATAATCCAGCTGTCATATAAATCCTATGGTCCTTCTCTTCGAGCTGATCTATACATCATCCCTACTAAACATCTCCGAAGCCTTCAACCATTCAACTCAATGCTTTGACGGCGGACTTAAGTCCCTTCCTGGCGAAAAAAAGGTCAAAGCCCGCTTTTGATAGCGAAGATCATGTCATCTGCATAGAGGACGAAGGAGGTGAGGTGTGGTATTTATAGGTGAGTCATTGCCGGGATTATAAATGGGTTCGAGTACAATTCTGATCGCGTAGTCGCTGAGATGATCGGGCAAGTGAACGGGTTTAGCTTATGATGTGTTTGGAAGCCCTCGTCCAAACGAGTATTTTACAGAGAGCCGACAAGGAATTCCATTAATAACTGGCCGTTTTGATTCTTTGAAATAACTCAAGTAGATCTTTCCTTGACAATCGAGATCATCAAATAAATACAAAGATATCCTCCATGTGGAGCTGTCCCATTGGTGGTTGGTTCCATATGGAAACCAACCATCTGGTTCCTTAGCAAAATTGATATAACTGATACGTAGAAGTATTTGCTAACACTCCTAAAATGTAGAAATATTAGCATCTAATTCGTTCACGCAGTTGCCTGTTTTCCGAACAAGTGATGTTGCCAGATTGCCTATACTTGTTCCAGCTATATATCCACCTGACCAAGCATTCTGTACAGAAAACAACAAACTTACCTCAAAAAAATAAAAAATAAAAA